TTAGTATATATTCTTAGTGCTTATTTGCATTCTTTTAGCTATCTGCAAGGAGTATAAATCCTTCCATTCCCCACCATCCAGTCAGAGCTGAAGAAGCTTCTTGGATGAGAAGCAAAACGTTTTCAAAGAAAAACCAGAAAGTCCAGTTGCCTCTTGAAAAAGCACCTTTGGGATAACCATAACATGGATGACTGAGAATCTCCATAGACATTTAGCTGAAACCTGGAAAAACACAAAAGAAAAATGGAATCTGCTTGAAGAGGACAAACTCAGCTGGCTGGCTATCAAATGGAGTATTTTGCAGCACACTCCACTTGGTAAGACTCTTCTAAAGCTATGTCGGGTAAGCTTTTAACAAACAAATCTCCTCCCAATGATTTTGTCAGAAGGAATTTAATGTTTAGTAAAACTTCAGTTTTCAAGCTATATGAGACCATCTCTGGTGGTAGCTTTCCAGAATCTGATGCTTCTTTTCCTTTGTCTTTTTCCATTATTAATATTTCCAAAAGCACATTTTTTTTCAGAGCATTTTTTTTAATGAAGGGAATGTTTTAGAAAGTGGTATCAACATGTTATCCCTTTCAATAAAGAATGCATGACTGTAGCTAATCTGGAGAAAGTCCAATGATGGAACTAAAAGTTTTTTGATTAGACAGACATTTGGTTTCTTTATAGAACTCTATGCCTTTCATGAACAAGTGAAGGAGACAAAGACAGGGCAAAAAAATTTTGGCCATACAATAGAATTAGATAAATGGCAGAAATTGTTGGACAGGATCTACGAATTAATGATGTCAACTGCATATAAAGAAAATTTGTATAAGTTGTTTTATAGATGGCACTTTGCACCAGCAAGATTGGCAAAGATATTCAAAGATAAGTCAGCCAAATGTTTAGAAGTGCCACCAGATACCTGGGTCCTATTATCATATGTGGTAGACATGTGTAGAAGCAAAAAAATACTGGGCAAAAATACATACATGGCTGGAAAAGATGTTAAAGCAGCACACTGATTTAAAACCAGAAATATTTTTCTTGGGGATGTTACCTGAAACTTATAGTAAAGAGAATGCATATTTAATTATCCATGTATTAACTGCAGCTAGAATTGTATTTGCACAAAATTGGAAAAGTGAAGAGATCCCTACTGATGAGAATCTGATTAGGAAAATATTAGAATGTGCAGAAATGAGTAGATTAATGCTTGCAATTAAGGAGAAAGAACAAACTGAATATTATATGATATGGGAATTATTTTATCAATGGTTAGAGAATAAAAAAGGAAGTTAGAAATAAAAGGAGGAGATTAAAGAAGAGTAGAAAGTATGTTAAGCTAGAGATGTAAACAATATGATGATTGTTATTATTATGACTATTAGGATTATTATGTTTAATATTACTGTTATATTCTTACTAGAAGATATGTTAAGAGGGAAAAATGAACAGGTTTACTATGTTCAGTACTACAATTGTAAGATCAGAGAATTAATATCAATGTAATGAACACTGTGGTAAATTTTGATGGTTATTGCAGAGAGATATTTGTACCAGGACAATGCACTGTTTAAGGGAAGATGAAATATTTATATTTTAAAAAATAAAAAAATCTTTAAAAAAAAGAACTCTATGTCTTTCGGTTCCTCGTTGACATCATGTCTCAACTAAGTGAGGTCCAAAATCTATATTTAGTTTTGTCAACTTTTATTTAAACTTACTTAAAATTACATTCCAAATTATACCTTGTTTATTTTGTTTATGCATTAATCTACTGTCTCTTATCCCATTTACTGTCTCATTTTAGTGGGTACTAACCTTTGTGGGAAATGTTTCATCTCTTTTTAGATGCTATAGAATGTAACACAGCAAATAGGACACTCCTATTGAAAAAAATACTGAAGAATCAGACATGGTCCTATGAAGTTGCCATCCGTTACGTAGCTAGTTAGGCTTAACTCCTGATGAATGTAGTTCACTCTCTTTTACATGGAGTTTGTTTTTTTACCTTACCTAAAATATTTTTTTAATGAAAAATATGTGAAGCAGGATCTTTCTAGCCAGGGCAACAAAAGCTATGGTGGGAGACTTAGTCAAAGAATTTTTCATATTTCAAACAATAAGGAAGATCTTTTTTTTTACATTCAAGATAGTAATATTGCTCAGTCGTGTTGTTTCAAAATGCTGGATTTCTCCATTACCATTTATTTAGACCACCGGTTTCAAAACTGAATCAAACCAGGACAAAAAAAAAAAAGAAAGATACAAAGATGTTGGTACCTTAAATGAACATATTGTTTCTTGAATCCATCTTAAGAATCCTTTAAAATTCTGAGCAGTGTGATCAAAGGGAAAACTGAGTCTAGTATAGGGGTGTCAAACTCAAGGCCCAGGGGGTGGATCTAGCCCACAAGGTGCTCAGACTCTGGCCCATGGGGCTGCCCTAGAAACAGCAAAGTACCGGCCTGTGGTGCCTCTACCAGTGAAAGGTAGAAAGCCTCATGTGGCCCTCCCAGGCTCTGTTTTCAGCTGCGACGGCCTCCTGCTGCCCTCTGCCAGTGAAAACAGAGCTCAAGGGGGCACATATGGTGCATACTCTCCCCCCCTCAACTCCATTTTCACTGGCAGAGGCGGTAGGCCGCCGCAGCTGAAAATGGAGCTCTGGCGCCCATTTTCACTGGCAGAGGGTGGTAGGAGGCCTCCACAGCTGAAAATGGAGCTCTTGAGCCTGTTTTCATTGGCAGAGCACTTGGGCCACCACAGACGACCCTGAAACAAGTGACATCAAACTGGCCACACCCACCCTGGCCATGTCCACCCCAGCCCCCAAGGTCAAATACAACCCTGATGCAGCCCTCAATGAAATCGAGTTTCACACCCTTGGTCTAATATAAGGGAGGGAAAAAAGTCTGCAATGTTATCACTTTTCTTCTGATAAAATAAACATTCCTGCAAGGGCAGATAGCAAGTGACCTGAAACCACTTGCATGACGTTATCTGTCGTTGCATAGCTGTATCAGTATGCATATTAATCACTGACAATTCATCATTGTTAGAAAAGGGCACAATTGTATCCATTTGCACATGCATGCAAATAGCAAATTTGGCAAAGATCAGACCATCCTAGGACTGAGAAAGAGAGAGAGATGATTTTCTATAAAAAATTTCTGTACACTAGGAATTCACTGGGCTTATTTCTCAGCATGCTTGCATTGGTTTACCCTGTGTGATGTAATTATGACACCAATCTTCATTTCTCACAAATAGAAATGAGTGCTAGGACAAAACATCACATTATTAAAAAGCACTCCTGGTTTTTGCAAACAACTCTTCCCAAGATACTGTAAATGCTATTTTGCCACTTACTGAGTGTCATTCAATGTCATTTTTTTCACATTGGTGAAATCATGTGCATTTATGAATGAGTGTAAGTTTGCACCTATGTGTTCCCAATATTACATCTGTCTCAAAGCCTAGGGCTTAGTTGGTTACATGTTCCAATTCTTTTCTAACAACTTGGGAGCTTTCAAAGTATGTAGCCTCAAAAATGTGGTTGTATGATTTATCCTTGAGGTTGTGCTAGTCTCATGTGAAAATGTAGCATGTAATGAGATTGTAATCTCAGTTTAATCCTTTTCAAAAGGGGAAAAAAACATGAGAGGGAAGAGAGGACCAGCAATGATAGCAACTTTTTTTTATTCCAACATCCTGTTAATATTTATCTATAGACATTTCAAAATAGACGATTAACTTGTCTGTTTCAGGAAGTTCATACAAGTGGCTTAACACATTTTTCTGAATAAAAACTACTGCCAACTTTTTTTACTTCAACCTCAAATTGACAAATTTCAGTAAGGAAACAAGTAATGCCAGGACATTTTATCATCACTAAATGAGGTTGTCCATAGGGGGAAAAGACATATTCTTTTGCTGATAATTTTGGTCAGAATCCTCTAATCTTGATGTTCAACCGTGACCTTTTTCTCCTCTATTTTTCCAACTTTGTATTAAAGTAAAACAATTGGACCTAATGGGCAATTTTTAAGCATACGTTGCTTGGTTCTTTGTTCTCTGCTGCTTGACATTTCAGTTCCATAAACATTGTGTGGAAATTAATTGCTTTTCCTTAATTTCAGCTTACATTATAACACAATAGATGAGTTATCTCCCAGTTTAATACGTTTAAAGAGACAAATATTTCTAAGAAGAATATAAGATTTTTAGAGTGATCATTTGTCTTATTCGGATTTATGTCTGCAAATGTCTACAAACAGCTATAGGAGATGCTCTAGAAATTGCTCAAGTGAAAACAAAGCCAAGGATGCTCCTATTTGTTCCCTAGAATTAGCATTTAGGGAAAAACTGCGTCTAAAAAGAAATGTTCAATTTATCTATCACAGCTGATGGACAGGTTTTTTTAGGAGTTCCTCCAACCTCCCTTGTTAACACTACTTAGGGTAATGTGTATCCACAGAACTCATTTGCTTCCAGCTGAAATCATTAAAGAAAATAAATAGATAATAAACCCCCAGAAGAGCATGGATCTCCTTATTTACTTATGTGAGGTTAGCATAGGATGGAATAAAGACTCCTGAAGGGGCAGACTGACCTCTGGCAACCCAATCAGACACAGATTCATTTTCAGCCTTCTCAGCTTGACAATCTGACCGTGTGGAGAGAAAAAAAGAGGGACCGATGCCTTTTCAAACTTCTAGTGAAGCAAAAGCTTCACCAACAAGGCTGGTTGCAGGAACATTTTTCATTCAATTAGTCAGTTATTCGTTCATTTCGATTTATTGGCGTCCCAACTATAGCGGACTCTGTTAAAAGTGGGAACCTCGCTAAGGGCATGTAAGGCAGCCAAGAGCTGGCATATGGGCCGGAAAGTTTGCAGTGTTTTTTTTCCCCTTGCGTTTAGGGTTTGTTTATTCCCCAACGATTCGCTGCGCTCCGCCACCCGCCTTCCGTCTCTGGAGGACTTTCCTCCAGGTCGCTCCTGGACTCACCTGTCGGCGCTGAGGGCGGTGAGGGTGAAGACGGAAACGCCCACGGTGGTAAGCTGAATGGCCGGCAGCAGTTTGCAGCCCACCTCGCCGAAGAGCCATTCCTCGAGGAAGAAGCGGGAGGCGTCGACCGGGACGCAGGTAAGCAGCAGCAGCAGGTCTCCGGCGGCCAGGCTGGAGATGAAGATGTTGGGCACGCTCCGGGAGGCGCTCCGGGCGGCGAAGATCTTCAGCAACGTGAAGTTGCCCAGCAAACCCATGGCCATGATGAGCAGGTAGAGCGAGGGGATCAAGCAGCGGATGGCGAATACTGCCCCAGCCTGCGGGGACGAGGTCCCCGGAGCAGCCGCCTCGCTCTCGTTGCCCGCCACCATCCCTTGGAGCCACGTGGACTCTGTCGACCTCGGTGGCATCGCTCCTTGGCAGCGGGGACTCCTTCGACGGCCTTCTTCCAAGTCCTCAGTTTACGAGCCGGCAGTTTGAGGGGGGGGTTCCTTCTCCTCCGCCCCAACCAATCTTTCTCTCCCCGAAGACCCCAAGAAGGAAACAAAGTCTCATCGGAGTGAAACGTCCTCTTTACTTCCGAAGGGATGGACGGTGGGATGGACGAGGTAGGCGAGGCGCTGCCACTCGGCTGTCTGAAAGATTCTTGGGAAATCTTTGGGTGTCCGCGGGGCTGTTCCGTCTTCTGCGGAGTGTGGCGTTAGGAGAAATCGCCTGGCTCGCAGCCCCTCTTCTTCCACTGTCTGGAACGCGACTCTCTCCAGCCGAGTTCGCTTTGCCCGCCCTAGATGGGGGCGCCTTTCCTTTAAAAAGGCGAGCGGGTCCGCCTCCACAAGGAGGAACAGTGCGCGAGAGGCACACCCGGACCCCCGAGTTGAGGTAGGGTGGGGGAAAGGGTTTTTCCCCCCGTATCGCGGTCCAGGAGAATGCCTATATACACTCTTTGGTTTTGAGAGGTTACGAGTCCATTTCAAAGAGCCTTGTGGCGCAGCAGACTAATAGCCTGTTATTAACATTCAGCTGCCTGCAATTACTGCAAGTTCGAATCTCCCCAGGCTCAAGGTTGACTCAGCCTTCCATCCTTTCTAAGGTAGGTAAATTTAGGACCCAGTTTGTGGGGGCAATAAGCTGACTTTGTATAAATATACAAAAGTATGAAGGCTATTGCTTAATGCGTTGTAAGCCGCCTTGAGTCTCCGGAGAAGGGTGGCATATAAATCAAATTTTTTTAAAAAAGTCCTCCCTATGAACTGTAGGACTGACCTCTGTGTTTTAGTTACTCTAGGCACAAATAAGGCGGCAGCACAAGCAAGGACTGATCTGAAGTTAGGGTCTGCATTTTTTTCCAAAGCATACTCTTTGCAGTGTATCATCCTGTATATCAGTTACAACCCTGATGGCTGCATCCACATAACATGCCTGAGTAGGGTTAAAACCTGATTAGGATTTTAGTTGGGGTTTATGAGAACCCAGCCTAACAAATGGTTTATGGTTCAATGCGCAAACGGAGAAAATGGAGATAAATTGGAACTGTCCGACGCTTTGGTGCTGAAAAGCTCTCTGAAACGAATCTCTCGTTTGTTTAGCTTCAGGGCAGAGTTTACAGTAATTATCGCGCTTTCTTGGGAACCACTATCCACTGAAATAAATTATATTTGCAGCCTAATCTGTATCAAATGAGCAGAAAGTGCTATTGTTTTGTAATTTTTAATCTTTTGTACCTTGGTCTTCAGCCTAAATGATCAAAATAGCCCATTAATATAGAATGTACTGATGGACCATTTTCATCTTATTCCAAAGAGCCCTGGAAGAATGTCTATTACAGAAAGGTAGGCAGCAAAAAGGAAAGATCGGATTAACTTGCTTAACGCACTGTAAGCCACCCTGAGTCTCCGGAGAAGGGCGGCATATAAATCAATTTTTTTAAAAAAAACTCTCTAGGCGGAATAATGAAAAGGGGAAAAGCAGAATGCTTGGACATGGATTACATTCCCATATACAAATACTTTTGTGCTGGCTCAGATATGGATTACAATATTGCTTTGGAAGCAAATCCCTCATATTCATTGTTTTCCTTCATGGTACAGCAGTAAGTTGTATTCAAAAGCAAAGCAGCTGGGTGACAAAGTCCTTTCAGATCAAATTGCAGTTTTCTTTTGAAGAAGAGCTTTAAAATAATTGATCACTTTACCAGCAATGATGTCCTCTGTGCAACTAGGTTGGAAATCTTGAAGTAAAAGAAGAAAAAAGGTCCAAGAGTCTTCAGGATCTGAGTTGGGGGTTCTCTTTTTCCAAATTGTTGCTCTCCAGATGTATTGAACTACAATTCCGTTCATTCATTCATTCATTCATTCATTCATTCAATTTATATCATCCTTCAGACAGCACAGATTACATTTAGAGAGAAGACACTTCGATGTGACAATAAACCACTTCTTGGAGAGCATGTTCCTTGGCAATTAAAATCAGCATAGATGGGCACAGCAGATGAAGCTCCAGGTGTAAACATTCTGTTATCCTGAAGGCAATTAAAAATCAGGATGCTGTGGCATTTTTAAAAGTTAATATACAGATTAAAGTTGCCTTGACAAGCACTCTTAGCAGATGATCCAGTCTATTAACCTACCATAGAAGGCTCAAATGAGTCATTCAGCACTTCTGAGGATAATGAGATGACAGCAGGACCCAGAAGTTCACAAAACAGACCAGAGAGAATTCAAATAGAATAAAGGAAGTTCTGTTGAGATAGAAAGACAAATATAGCAGAATAGGGCAGGGAAATCATGTTATGTGCAATACTACAGGAAATTGCTAAGTGATGCAAACTACAGGAAACACAGGCCTATATTGGAAGATCTGCACTAGCAACCAAGTGTTAGTAACCATAAATTCATGACATTGGTACTGATCATAAGCTCTAAATGAGTTAAAGCCTGGCTGTCTAAGGGAACATCTTTTCTGTTACAAACCTGTCTGTAGGAAGAGAGCAGACTTAGCTTGAAGGGAGGATCGAACACATCATCATTTTGGAGTCACTGCACTCCCACAAGAGACCCAAGTCAATTCCCCCTGTGAATTCCATTGACTTTAATCTAGTGCCAATTTGGCTTGACCATTAGTAGATCATATTCTTGTATGCAGGTAGCATGTAATAAATATTTAGTACTTTGAACTCAACACTTGTTCCTGGTTACTTGTACCTGATACTGCCTATATTTTAAGAATTGCAGAAGGCTTTCTGAATATGTGTCCCCTTGCCTTGGTATCAGGAGCTTGTTTTTCTGGCACAAATTATTCTGCATTGCTCCCAGGCTACAAAATACATTCTCTCAGGAGATGCATTGTTGCCCCCTCCCTCCCCCCAATGCCTTTGCATTTAGAAAATCAGTAAAGATTTGCTTCTCCGGTTCTTTAATATATTAATGCTTGCATTTAGAATAGAATAGAATAGAATAGAATAGAATAGAATAGAATAGAATAAATTAGAATAGAATAGAATAGAATAGAATAGAATAGAATAGAATAGAATAACAGAGTTGGAAGAGATCTTGGAGGTCTTCTAGTCCAACCCCCTGCTCAGGCAGGAAACCCAATACCATTTCAGACAAATGGTTGTTCAATCTCTTCTTAAAAACTTCCAGTTTTGGAGCATTCACAACTTCTGAAGGCAAGTTTTTCTACTGGTTAATTGTTCTAACTGTCAGGAAATTTGTTCTTAGTCCTAGGTTGCTTCTCTCCTTGATTCCCCTTTTGCTTCTTGTCCTGTCCTCAGGTGCTTTGGAGAATAGCTTGATTCCCTCTTCTTTGTGGCAACCCCTGAGAAGATTTCTTATTTAAATTTGTAGCTTTTGACATATGATTTTCTAATTTTGTTAGCTACCTTGAGTACTTACAAACAGCCTTTTATTCAGCACTGGATCCATAACTCTTATTGGAACACCTGCCTCTCAGACTTTCTGAGATTCAATTTTTGGAGAGACAACATTCCTGAATGATTATCTATCCAGAAGATATTGCAAGAGAAAGAAAATGAAGCTGAAATAGGAAATTTTGAAGTTATACAGTAATTCCTGGAATTTCTGTCATACTTACAGCATCGGCTGAGACATTTCTACATTTGTTCTGTGTATGTTCGGTTCACTGCTTTTTTTTTCTGGGTATAAGTGGTTTATAAAGAATCAGTTTGGTCTGTTTACCTAAATCATGGACTAAAGCAGCCAAGTTTTCTATGTGTCCTGTGGGTTTTCCACATGCATTTATTAGTTTACTACTATAACAAAGATACATAGCATTTTTGTAAATAACAGTTATTATTAATAAGATTACCAGAATCACTACATTATTGACTTCATTCCCCCCCCCCTTCAGTCTTTATAATCTAGCTATCCCTTCAGCTATGGAAATGTGTATATGTGTTCTTAATTCAAAATAACACTTCATGCATCTGAAGGAAAAAAAGCTGAAATCAATAAAAGCTTATGCAAGAGCCTTGAATTTTTTGTCCTGAGGGGAATAATAGAGCATCTGAGAATAGATCATGGACACTTTCACCAATTACCTGCTTGGAGGCTGGTGAATGAGGGGGATGAGGGGGACATGTTTATTCCCAAAATGGCTGCTATGAAAAACTGTAGGCAGACATAAAGCACTCATAGATAAAAAGGCAATTTTGTGAGCTGGTCTGTCACTTTTAGAGCCTGAAGATGGATTTTAGCAACTGTTTTTAATCAGATGGAAGTACAACCAATAAAGCATTGGGGACTCTCTTTGTTTCTTTATGGACCATCTGCAAATCCTACCCACATCCTCGGCAATAAAGTTTGACAGAAGACAGTACCTTCTGTTTCAGCATGCCAACTTCCCATTTAATTTTCTTTCAATATTTTTACAGCAGCTAGGGCAAGGTCACATTTATACAACACTAGTGATTATGGAACAGTTGTGGGCTGAAATCAATTACCTTTGGTTTTGCTATTTTTATTTTTGTTGGGTTTTGTGTTTGGATTTCATTTTATATTAGCTACCCAGAGTTGCAATGTGTGAGTTGCAGCCACTTCAATTGGTTAAATAATTACATGAATTAAATAATCAAAAATGCCTGCCAAGTGCCAAAGAAAGAGTCTGCAGATACAGTACACGGCATCATGTTTAGAAGTCCAGGTTTATGATTTTTTTTTTAAAAAAAATGTTTACACTTCCAGAAGACTCTTTGTATTTTCTTGTAAGGAGTAAGATGACTGTTTCTGTGGAAATTCAGCCGACCATCATTCATTAAGATTTACAGCCTACCTTTCCTCCAAGATTCTGAAACAGAAGTTACATCAGTCCTTCTTCTATTTTCCTCCCCACAATAGCAATTGTGTGATGTAAATTAAGCTAATAATTGGCCAGATTCACCCAGTGAGCTTTGATGACTAAAGCTGGAATTAGTATTCCAACGTTTCAAGGACCGCACCACACTGATGCATATAGATTGGACTAATACTTTGCCTTGAGGTAGTATAAGAAGACAGTTTTCTGCAGAAGCATTTGACAAACCTTCTCTCTATCTCTCCTTTCAGTATGACCTATCTGTTGCCAACAAACCATCTCAAATAAGGTGGGGTTGTTCAGATTTAAATATCATTAATTTTGATTAGTAACAGCAGTCATTCACATAAGGACACAATAAGCACAAGGTATGGTTTACTCCCAAACATGATCAACTATCTAGTATTAAATCTTTATACAGCCACAGGTCTTTACAGCTGAATTGTCCAGGATACACTA